AAAAAAAAAAAAAAAAAAAAAAAAAAAAAAAAAAAAAAAAAAAAAAAAAAAAGAGAGAGAGAGAGAGAGAAAGACTAAGCCCTGCCTGAAGACAAACAGATTTGACTAAGTTTAAGCTGTTAGCATTTTTACTATAACCAATAGATAAGTCCTTGTAAGAATAATGAAATTAGGTATTGACAAAATACATTAAATTTTCTCCACCTATGCAATTGTAGGATAACTTAAATTTGTGACAGTTTAATGAAGAAAAAATATAAAAGGATCTATAAGTGCCAACAATCATCATCTCTGGGTTTTAGGATTATAGGTGATTTCTAATTGTTTTCTCCAGTATTCTAAAAATTTTTAACAGAGAACATTTTATATTGAGAACTTTTATAAGAATAACCCACTCAGTTATTTTTGAAATCCTTTTCTAATAATTCTTGCATTAAAAAAGGATTATAAATAATTCGGGTAGTCTTTTTAACTGAAGTTCCATTAAAGATTTTTGGGAAATCAATGAGCCTTAGATAACAAGATGAATGTGCACACCATCAGTCCAGATGCCTCTAACCATAGTTTTGTTAACCTACAAGTATATCTCACAATCAAGTCAGAATGAAGTTTGAGAAGGTATCATTCTTTTTTTTTGAGATGGAATTTTGCTCTTGTCTCCCAGGCTGGAGTGGTGCAGTGGCTCAGCCTCAGCTGCCTACAACCTCTGCCTTCAGGGTTCAAGCAATTCTCTTGCCTCAGCCTCCTGCGTAGCTGGGACTACAGGCGCTTGCCATTACGCCTGACTAATTTTTGTGTTTTTGGTAGAGACAGGATATTGCTATGTTGGCCAGGCTTGTCTCGAACTCCTGACCTCAGGTGATCTGCCTGCCTCAGCCTCTCAAAGTGCTAGGATTACAGGCGTGAGCCACTGTGCCCAGCTGAGATGGTATCATTCTTGATAGAGATCAGGAGAAATGAAAATAAAGATGATATCAGAATACACATTTCATTAAAACAATAGCCAGTAATGAGGGCTGGTGAGCATGTGGAGAAACTGGAACTCTCCTACACTACTGGTGGGAATTTAAAATGATGCAATTGCTTTGGAAAAAAGTCTGGTAGTTCCTCAAAAAAGTTTTTACTATGTGACCCAGCAATTCCAGCCCCAGGGAAATACTCTGAAGAAATGAAAATGTCCACACAAACATCTTGCACACAGATGTTCATAGCAGTATTATTCATAATAGCCCCAAAGTAGAAATAACCCAAATGCCCAAGAACTGATAAATAAACAAAATGTGGTAAACCCATAAAATGGAATACCATTTGGCAATAAAAAGGAATAATGCACTGATATATGTTACACCGTGGGTTAGCATTGTAAACATTAGAATGAACCCAGGTGAAAGAAGCCACACCAGAAATGCCATATCTTTTATGATTCCATTTATGCGAAATGTTGAGAATAAGCAGGTCTAGAGACAGAAAGTAGCTTAGTGGTTTCCAGGGTCTTGGGGTAGAGGAGGAGGAGTGACTGCTAATAGGTACTGGCTTTCTTTTGGAGATGATAACATGTTCTATAATTTAATACAGGTGATGGCTATACAACCTTGGGAATAACCTGAATGGTACATTTTAAAATGTTAAATTTTATATGATTGTGAGTTATATATTAATTAAAAATAAGAATACATAATTCAACTATACTTTTTTTGTTTCTATACTTTTAGAGGCACTTTTCAACTCAGGACCCATTTCCATATTTTCTTGGTAATGTGGTTCTCATGACAGAAATAGGAAACTTCCTTCAAGGATTTGGGTAAAACTTGCAGTAGGGTCAATCAGGAGCTTTCCAAGACCCACATTTTTTGAGGCAGTTAGAAAAAAAAAAAACAAAATAAAAAGCCAAGAATACAAAACATTGTCTCTGCCAACAGAAGGTCCATAAACCTAAGAGCATGAAAGGAAATACTTACATAAAGGAAAATGAGTCTATGAACAAAGATTCATAACCATGAACCAATTAAGTATACAGAGTCTGAAGTAAGTACAGGGGAAAATTGAGAGCAGTGAGTTCAGAGATATATTTATCTGGGAGGGATAATTAATAAGAATAGAAACCACACTGAGATAATTAATTACATGTTCTATGGAAACTTTAGAGGTATTTCATTTGAACCCTATAAAAAAAGGTTACTTCATCCACTACTCATTAAGGTGCAAAAACCCACGAATAAATTAAAGGTTGAAAGTTCAAACAGGAACTTAGTCTTATTCAACTTTCAATCTACTACAATTTCAGAACTATGATGATCTCAAACAGTGGTGTTTTACAGATACAGCTGGAAATGAAACACAGACCAAGTTTCCCTCAACACGCATCAAGAAAGGCAGGGACACAGGACCCTTAGCAGACAGGTTCACCTTCCTTTTGCTCTTTCTTGAGCATGTGCTTTGGTGCTATCTGATCTTCTGGATTGTAAGGCAATCTAGGAGGGAGTTATCACATTTCTGAGTGAAACAGAAAGGCTACGTGACTTGCTGAGAGCTACATGGTTGGTCATTGGCAGAGCCTAGACAAGCTGTTTGGAATATTGATTCCCAAAACAATGATAAGCTACCACATTTTGCCCTTACATTTTTAACTTTTGCATATTGAAGTATGACAAACATATAGTAAAGGTATAATGTGTACCAATCTTAAGTTTACAGTTCAGATGTTTTTATTTACATAAACAAATATGTGACACTTCACCAATCAGGATACTTAGCATCCCATAAAATTCCTTTTGATCCTATTGTGATTCTCATTTCCACCTTCATCCAGTAGTTTTGCCTGCTCTTGAACTTCAAAAAGATGCAATAGATAATTTTTTGTATCTGGCTACTTTCACTTAGTATCTGTGTGGTTCATTCATGTTGCTTTGTGTGCTGTTATTTCATTCTTTTTTATTGCTGTGCACCTTTTTTCTTGGGTCTACCTTTTTCTCTTAGATGGGTTATTAGGCTCAGTCTAGGATATGTGGAGTGAGTGGCAGGGGAAACAGGTAGGTAGGTGAACAGATCCCAGCTGTCCCAGAGCTCTGATCTACATTTCAAGTCTGAAGCTATGGGTTCCATGTAACAAGGAAGGGAGAAAATTATTAACAGGAAACAATGCAACATGCTGCATCATCCAAACCCATACATAACTGAGTCAGAGAGCATTTCTTCTGAGTCCTCAGAGGTGAGCTGTGTCACTCTTTGCCCCACATTTGGCCAAAATGCATGGCAGCTGAATCTAGCAAAAAGAAACCACTGGGCTAAGATCTTAGACAAGCTGTTCATTCTCTCTGGGCTTCCGATTCCTCCTTGATAAAATGAAGGGGTTAGATTGGGTTTTTAAGGTCCCCCCAAATCAAAAGAAGGCAGAAAGCCAATACTCACTTATTTCACACTGCTCTCCCTCTAATCCTGGAGGGCAAATACATTTTCCAGGGTAGAAACAGGTCCCTCCATTAAAGCAGGTGGTTGAGCAGTTTGCTGTTAGAATGAGTAACAAGGGTATTACATTAAGCAGTAGGTTAAATCTAACACAAATTTCACTTAAAATGAGGTGCTATGTTTTAGGCGTCTGCTACTTGCCCATTTCCTGACTTAATAAAGTAAGCTGCTTTACAAATACAAAAATTGTTACGAATTGCTTGCCTGGGTGCAGACTCTAGAACATAATAGGAGACCACACACATCATATACTACCCACCCATAGGAGTTTCCATCTTAGGGAAGAATGTCACAGTCAAAAATTAACTCATTAATTTTCTTTTTTTTCATTTTAAAGAAATAATTTTATTAAAAAATAATTAAAGTTCAAGTATTTCTAGGTACTGCCAACACATTAATGCATAACTGAATGACTCTAGAAGACTAAATATGAATGATGACAGTTGATTTTTTTTAAATCCAGATTATTTGGACAGTCATTTAAAAATTCTTATACTACTTTTAATTTTTTCCTTTTTACAAATTTATTTATTATACTTTAAGTTCTGGGGTACTTGTACAGAACATGCGGGTTTGTATGTCCTTAAAAGGAGAAGAATGGTATAAACCTAAGGATATTTTTTGTAAACATCAGTTTGGAGGATAAAGGAAGAGTAAAACAGAGAAGACTTACTATAATGCTGATGAATTTGTAGTTACTGCAGCCACCAAGTGTGACTGCATACCCAAAGGTAATAGATTTTATCATATACGTAAGAAAAATTCAGGAACCTATATTAACTTAAATATCAAATTTCTTCTTGTTGGACATCAGTATTTTATCTTTGTGATATGTTCTACTCGTCATTTTTTTTTTTTACTGTACTTTAAGTACAATAGAAGGAAGAAGCAGAATCACTAGTCACTGGAATACTAGATAAAAATATGGCCTTTATACAGACTCTGGAACATTTCACATCAAGGGTTATATAATCTCTTGTGCATTAAAACAAAAAAACGCTGTAGTCAAAAATTTCAACTTAAATAAAAATATAATTATGGAAAATACCAAACAGAATTAGTATTGGTGACTATGTCATAAAAATTATTGCAGATTGTCTCATTCCTAGCTATGTGATTAACAGTTGGATGAATTTTGTATGCAGTTTATTATTTTACATCAAATGTGAAAAATAAACTACAAAGTTTGTGGTTCATAATAAAAGGGAGAGAGAATTACTTTGGAACAGATAAAAAGAAGTTATAAGTATCAGGACTTGACAAAGAAAAAAGCAACTTTCTTTCAGGACAAGATGAACAGAGATTTATCTTAATGGGATTTTTTTTTAAAATAGACTTTTATGACTTTTGGAGAAAAGAGTAATTGTATTCAGAAAAAGACTGTGGGCCTGGGTGAGATCCCATAGGTAGGATTGTGGCCACAGCATGGGCCAGAGAATGATGAAGTTGGCTGTATCATAGTGGGAGCCCAATAACCAGATTATCATCACACTCTGCGATTCATCCTAAACCCTCTCTCACGGTGGCAATTTCTGGAATTTCACTGCTCACTGGCACCTAAAATAGAGGGAGCGTGGAGAAATGGGGAGAGGAAGAGAGGAAATACCTAAAAATAGACAAGTTGGCTCATTCTATAAAGGAAATTAAAATGAGAGCTTGGATTTTTAGCAATTGCAGCTATATGACCTATTTGTTCTTGTTTCATATAAAATTGGCCAAAGTTGGCTATAGATGAACAAAAGCTAAAGTAAGCTCCAAGTAGGAAAATCAGAAAAGAAATCCAAAAGTTCTAAGTGTGTTTTCTTTGTGGAAAAAGAAAGTCCACAAAGTAAAATATTCTATGAATATCATGCTTCTTAAATGACAAATTGTGTTTAAAATCACAAAGATCTCCCAGTTTAAGGCAGTGCTGTGGGCAAAATCAAAATTTTTTTAAAAAACAAAAAACCAAAAAACAGACAGGGTCTTGCTCAGTCTTCCAGGCTGGAGTGCAGTGGCACAATTATAGCTCACTGCAGCCATAACCCCTGCGCTTAAGGGATCTTCCTGCCTCAGCGTCCTGGATGGCTGGGACTAAAGGTGTACACTACCATGCCTGGTTAATTTTGGAATTTTTTTTGTACAAATGGAGTCTCGCTATGTTGCCCAGGCAGGTCACAAAAAAATCAAGCCTCTTAACGTGGAAGGGAGCTGCAGCATTTTGGTATAGGATTTAGGAGTTAGGAGAACCAGCTCTTGGGGCCTCTTCTTTGCTGCAGTATTGCTAAGGCTGGACATTTGTTTTGCTGTGTCCTGTCTCCTCACTTCTGCTTCTTTTGGAGATAAAAGGAAACGATGAGATCAGTGCCCTGAAAAACTTTGGGATCAGTGCCCACTTGGCCCGTGCCCCGTGGGCACTGCCTGATTACTGATGTGTAGAATGCAATGAACCTGGTAGCTTCATAGAAAGTTGTAGAATTGGGCAAAGCTGGTTATATAATTTGGCCTCACTCTTAGTACTTGTATACTATTATATTGTCATGAGCAAGCTTCTCTACATTTCTGTGTGCAATGATTCTCGATTAGAAAAACAAGCAGCTAGAGACATGAAGTATCTTTCTCTGGGGTTAAGATCCCATTGGCCAATGCTAAACTCCTTACGTCCTAAAAGTCGTGATGTCCCAACAGCCAATGAAAGTTATTCTTTAATATTTGTTCAAATATATAGTGCTAAGGTCTAATGCCATAGTAATAATTAAATCATTTTTCAGAGCCTCTCCATACTCCCTCCTGGAGAATAAAAGCATCTTTTTGTTGAGGTAGAATTTTTTTTTTTAATATTCCCAGATCTCCAGTGAGAGACCAAGTGGAATTTTAACACTTTCTAAAAGAATTTTAAAAAATTAATGGAGTCTGATAAGTAGGAAAATCTTTCATTTGAAAGATAAAATGTTATAAAATATAAAATGTACTAGAATACAGACAGATATATTACTTTAACAGACCATGTGGTGTTTGTGACACCATAGCACCAGAAAAACATTGCAATTGATGCTCCGTGATGCAAACCACACCAACAATGGCCACACCTACATAAGAAGGTCTCAGAAATGGTCTTTCTAAACCTGTGAATACATGAGTTCTTTAACCAAACCTCTAGAGGATTTGCTTTATTTATTAATAGTTTTGAGATGATAATAGGTTAATTCTTGGCTGGGCACAGCGGCTTATGCCTATAATCCCAGCACTTTGGGAGGTTGAGGCGGTTGGATCTTGAGGTCAGGAGTTTGAGACTAGCCTGGCCAACATAGTGAAACCCTGTCTCTACTAAAAATACAAAAATTAGCCGGGCACGGTGGCATGCACCTGTAGTCCTAGCTAGTCGGGAGGCTGAGGCAGGAGAATTGCTTGAATCCGGGAGGTGGAGATTGTGATGAACTGAGATTGCACCACTGCACTCCAGCCTAGGCGACAGAGCGAGACTCCACCTCAAAAACAAAAGTTTAGTTCTGCTCTAGAATGCCTAGTTTTGACATAGCAGAGATACTGAATGCTAAATTTAACAAATAAAAAGATTCACAGTAATTAATTTTACTCACTGGCTATTATTAGGGTCATTAGTGCTTAATCTTTGTGAAAATACATTTAAAAAAAATGTTTTTTAATCCAATGCTATAGTTTTAAAAGACTACTTTAAAAAAGGTAGAAATGCTTTCACGTATTATCTCAATATAGTTATTGCATATAGCTCAGGGGTGAGGAACAGGAGGGTCAATGGCTTAATTCCAAGTCTAGAGATAGAAAAACCATGATCCAGAGAGATCAAATTACCTGCCCAGGCTCAGCACTGAGGCCTGAATTAGGTAGCCTGGGTGGCAACATGGTATATAGTGCAGGATATGAATTTGGGTCAACCTACTCAAGTTCCATAAACCTCACTTTGCTTATCTAGAAATGAGAGTGATACTACTTTACATATCTCAAAAGGTGTACCGAGTAAAATCACACAACTCTATGAAAGTACTTTGTACATCATAAAAGAGTAAACATGTCATAAGTTATTCTGACTCATACTGAAGGCTCTTTCCTTTAGCTTTATTTAAAAAAACAAAAAATGGCTTATGGCAATCTTACTTGGTACTAACTGAGTGATTACTAAAAAGATACTTTTTAAAAATAAAATTTATCCTAACATATATGTTTATTAACAAAAAACAATTCTCTATTCATACAATTAACATTTTAACACAGATAACTTCAATAAATATACAAACTTCACAGTATAGTCTTTGTTTTCCACTTAAAAGACGTGAACTGGGTAAAACAGACAGGCATCTTGTAAAAAGTATGAATCATTCAGCAATTTTGGGGCCAGGATTGAATCCACTTGCTGAGAATAATATCTAGCTGTGTTGCCGCAATATGAAGAAGGAAGAACCAGATCTCTCCGGGATGTGATTTGTGAGCAGAGTACTGAATTGGGAGTCAGCAAACTTCTAGGTCAGGCAATGTAGAGCAGGTTGTTTAATTTCAGCCTTAGAAGCTTACCCATGAAACTGATTTAGGACATACCAAAATTCCATGTGGCGTAGACCACTAATTGTTCATAAAAATTTGCACTCCCCTCACATAATATGAGACGTCAGTGGGAGACAGCCGTCCAGCCAGGGGCAACATTTCTTCTGCCTGAATCCAGGTAGGACCATGAGGTTAATTCCTACCTATGGAATAGGTGTGGAAGTTCTGTGGGTTACTTCTCGGCCAGGGCTTTTAAATTTTTTAATTAATCAATTAATTTTTAGCAGTGCTTACTTCAATTCTTCTTGGCCTATTGGCTGGATCTAGAGAGTTGCAAAGCTCTAGGCAGGACCACAAATAGATGGTGCCTGGACCCCTGAGTCACTGCATAGAGAAGAACTGCCCTGCCCACTGGCCAGGCAAAATGCACTGGAGCATTCTATGAATGAAAATAAACTTTTGCTACTATGCTACACTAAAATTGGGGTTTCAGTTACTTTAGCAGCCGTCTTTACCCTAAGCCATACATTCTATTCACAGAGCTGTTATGAAGAGTGAGGACATATTAAGTAACTTATTCTAATCAAACATTTTAAAAGTAAAGATAACTTTGTTCTTAAAAAGAAACTATTACCTTTATCACAATTCACTCCGTAGAATCCAGGTGGGCAGATGCAGAAACCAGGAGTCACACAAAGTCCGCCATTCATACATCGTGGTGTGCAAAGGGCTTATAGGGAGAGAGAACCCTGATTAAGGCCAAATAGTGTTTTGGAGCAGGACCATTTTGAAATGTCAATAATACAACAGGTCTACATTTTCAAGCTTTGTGGTTGACTCTAAAATGATTACTTTTCAGAAATACACATTTGCTATATTAATATTATTTTTGTGGTATAAATCAGGCTGTTTTTCAATTTCTCAGTCAATTTCTTAGAGATGACTTTTGGATTGGTTCCATTTGAACAGTTGAATAAATTTTCCCCAGAACTATTTTGATTAAGATGTGGTCTTCTTAAAACTACAAATATTTTCACTCTGCCTCTTTTCCTTAATCTTCTAAGATAAATGCAAAGAAGAAAAATAAGAAAGTATTCTTCTGCCTTACCTATTTTAAATTTTTTTAAACTTTCTCTTACAGGATGTTCTTATTTCTTGAAGATAAAAAATATTTTGCTTACTTTAGTCAGGTAAGCCCTTAGTATGTAAGCATCTTACGATTAATATTCAATTTCTTGCTTATTTCTTTTTTCATGTATTTTTTAAAATGTATTTCCCTGAAATAGATGTACTTACTACACAAATTCTTTTCATCCCCTTTTTTGCCTTATCGTAACTTCATAACTCAGATATACTCTTAGTTGTGAATCAAGCTACTTTTAATTGGAATAATATCAGGTCAGTGGTGATACTAACTTTTTAAATCCAACTTAAGTAGAGGAAAAAAACTCAAAATTTTTATGAGATTATGCCAAAGTACAGTGACTATATGTGTGAAGTGGGACAGGTTGGGGGAGATAGCCAGGAATGCCCACAGAAAGTGGAGGCATTGTGCCAAAGTTTTCTACGTCTGTGACCAGAAAAATAATTTCAGGTAGTAAAAGTCCACATGGGGCTCCTGCGTGACATCCATGTTCATTAGGAAGTGAGCAAGCGAAGTCAGCTCTGTGTTTTACCTTTCTCACAGTGAGGTCCGTAGAACCCATCAGGACACTCGCAGATGCGTCTTTCATTACAAAAGCCTCCATTTCGGCACCCGCCTGGGCACTCGGCTTCACCAGAGAGGAACAAAATTTATATAGACACCCTTGAATTTATGTTGGGTGAATCACAGCCAGCGTGAGACATTAGCGTTCATTTCTGTTCCAGCCCACCAGTTAATCATGTTAATCAAATACCAATACTTCCAACTCATTCCCTTAATACCACTTGGATTTCACTAAATCTGCTGCAGAGTTAAGATTTTGACTCTGTTATTTCCAACAGTAGGAGGCTCATGGAAGAAGGTAAGGCAAATTTTATTCTGGCTTCATCTCCTCCTACGGATCTACTGTATCTTGTTAAATTCACACTGCAATTGAATGAATGGTATTGCCTTTCCCCTTTCAGAGGGTAGGATGACTTTTGGGTACATTTTTAGAGCACTGAAAGGCTCCTGAGTTTAAACTTTGATCTAGAACAGCTTGTATGGGGTTGTGAAAGGAGCCAGGCCTTTATGCTTAAAAGGGCATCTGAGGTATGATGGGAAGGTACTGAGTGAGGCCTTCACCAGGTAGGGATCACTGGCATGAGGTGGCACCCTGTCTTCCATGGATGTGAGCAGCATCAGGCTTTTGTCGGGAGTTATATTTGTGTTGCCTTTGACAAGTTGGAAGTGCTGGTTATGATGAGCCACCTCATTGTGAGCAAACTGAGCAAGGAAGGGGGAAATTCATGACCACAGGTGAAATACACTGGGACTCCCAGTGATTGTGCTGGAGGACTGGAGAAAGAGGAAGAAAAGGAATTTCGAAAAGGTTCCTATTTCTAATATTATAAGTGGGGTCAAGGTCAGAGAAAATCTATCTTAGTACTGTTACTAAATCCTGTGTTTATCATCTCCTTCCATTGCTGTAGTTATACAGCCATCATCCAAAAAACCGTGTTGTGTGTGTGTGTGTGTGTGTGTGTGTTTGGCCCAAATCCCACTAGAGCCCTTACAACAAGTCTTCTCTGGAATCACCATCAGTGCTTACTTTGTTGACATGTTTTAAAGAAGATAGCATTTTGAGGTGTCTGGAGAATGGTGTTGCCTTCAGAATTCATAACAATCACATTCACTTCAAATGCTGCCACCCCATCTTGTTTTCCAAGACATGGGAAACCAACTTGAACAACTAAAAGAAAAAGAGAGAAAGTATGGCGAAACAGTTAATCTAGTTTATTCTAGTTTTACATAAACCTTGGGAGGAGAGTCAAAGGACAATGCAAAAATGTTCACATGTTGTTGACTTTTGGAGTAGGAACTATATTTTGAGCATCTGCCCTCCACAGAAGTTGGGGATCATGCCAGGTGAAGAAATAATGACTCTTATTAATTTTTATTAATATGGAATTGGGGATATTCTGTTCATAGTCTGGACTTTTACTATCTTAAATATTTTCTCTGGAAATTAAAGATGCAAAGAAGAATCATAAAGTGGTTAATTATACATCACTGTAGCATGAGAAGAACAAAAACAAAACTAAACAAAAAGTGGTTAATTGGGGGAAGAAACTTTGTGGCATTTTCATCAGCCTCCATATTATCCAAAAAGGGCTAGAAATCAGCATCTCATAATCCCTTAAATGAAGGCTGATGAGCTATATCCCACTGGTTTATGTTTACTATGTGTATGTGAAAGTGACAAAATATCTTCTTTGAAAATATTTTGCAACTTAGACTAGAGTCCAATCATTGAACTGAATTAATGAAGTTAATATTTTCTCAGGCTGTTTGTTAATAAGAAATGTCCATATCTCAGGCATCTACAAGAGAGTTTGATGTGATAAAATAATCTCATAAATAGGGTTATATCTAATGGTTCTGTTCCTAAAGAGAAGCTTCCCTTTCTTGTGAGTCTAATGATCACTCGGTTTGTGCAAGTGTTGACAATGAAGTCACAGAACAGGGATTGGGAACTGAAGACATTGTTGTACAGAGGGAAGAATGACACCCATTGTGGAATACCCACAAGCCACTGGGTAAAAATGGGGCAAATCAGACATGATCATTGGCTGAGAAGCTGATTATGTATATTTCCAACATCCACTGGGTTATTATAACCTATCCACCAGGCAAGACTGATCTAGCAGATCCACCAGATTCTTGTTCTTCCTTGTGAATATAAGGAAATATTGCTAATGGGTATGCATGTGAATTTTTGCTTCCTTTTATTTCTGCATTCAGATTATGGCTTCTGCCAAGCTTGTGCAAATTGTATCAAGCTAAGACAAATCCTTTCCTTTTAGAGTATCAATAAGCTTTCTCTATATGTTTATAGGAAGACATGAGCTGGAAACTGGTCTGCCCTTTTCTGTAAAGTATTGCATGCTTTTGGCAACCAAAAACTCTTCTTAAAGCTCTGGCATTGTCAGTGTTCATTGCTATGCCATTCTCAAAGTTACATGGACTTCCATTTCCAGTTCCCCTGAAACTTGAGATTTAAACATTGCAAATCATCATTTATGATGAAAAGAAAACACAGACACTTTAACAGAAATAAAAAGAAAAAACAAAAAAAATTGTGTCTAAATTTCTAAAGCAAAATTGTCCTTATTGAAAACCTTGGCTTAATGAAATCCCATATATAAAAATGCCAGTTTATAAAACATTCATGAATGGAGATTTCTATTTCAGAAAGAAGCAAAGGAATTGACAATTTATTTAAATTGTTTGTACTTTGTTCAATTATAAAACTTTATTTACTCTTTTTATGACTCTTTAACATGGACATATAGGCTAATAATTGCTTTGAGGCATAAAAAGATGGAAAAACCTGAACGGGTATTTAAAGATAGACTTTTAGAATCTTTCTCACTGCATGCCATCATCCAAAATTTATTATTTTCCAGGTGTATGTTTTTTCTGAACCATATTCAGCCTCTCCTTTGCAGCTCACCTAATTCTTTTCTTTTTTTTGAGATAGAGTCTTGCTATGTTGCCCAGGCTGGACTGCAGTGGCGTGATCTTGGCTCACTGCAATCTCTGTCTCCTGGGTTCAAGTGATTCTCATGCTTCAGCCTCCTGAGTAGTTAGAATTACAGGCATGTGCCACCACGCCCAGCTAATTTTTGTATTTTTAGTAGAGATGTGGTTTCACCATGTTGGCCAAGATGGTCTTGATCTCCTGACCTTGTGATCTGCCCGCGTCAGCCTCCCAAAGTGCTGGGATTACAGACGTGAGCCACTGCACCTGGCCCACCTGATTATTTTTAAAAGGCCCTTCAGTTTTATTTTGGCTTTCAAAATCTTGGTAGGGAAGAGAAGATGCTTATCAGTAAACTCATCTTCATTTCTGCTTGCCAGCACTATCAAATTTCAAAACACATCTTGGATGTTAAATATCAAAAACTGCCTTATTAAGGATGTAGGAAATTTAGTTAAGAACAATCATTAGTTCTTTCACATCTTCAGATGTTCTAAAAGACGGTTTATAAATCTGGTTAAATTATGACTACATGTTCACAAGCTCCATTGTCAGTTGTCAGGGGATGCTTCTAGAGGGCTTGGAGTGCTGACATAAAAGTGTGTGGTTTGCCGCCAGGCGCAGTGGCTCATACCTGTAATCCCAGCACTTTGGGAGGCCAAGGCAGGTGCATCACTTGAGGTCGGGAGTTGGAGACTAGCCTGGCCAACATGGTGAAACCCGTGTCCACTAAAAATACAAAAATTAGCTGGCATGTTGGCATACACCTGTAATCCCAGCTACTTGGGAGGCTGAAGCATAAGAATCACTTGAACCAGGAGACAGAGGTTGCAGTGAGCCAAGATTGCGCCACTGCAGTCCAGCCCGGGCAACAGAGCAACCAAAAACTCCATCTCAAAAAAAAGAAAAGTGTATAGTTTGCTTACATCACCTTTAAGTCAATTAAAGTAAAGACATGTTCACAGAGTTCCCAGGCCTGTGGTGATGCTGGAAGATATGGCTCTATACCATTGCAGGAAACAAAATCGAGGTTGCAAAATCTAATGAAAGTTCAAAGTTTTTAAATAGAAAAACTGCAAGCAATTTTGGCAGATAACTAAAGACGCAGTATCTTTATATCATGCCATTACATTTTCTTAGTAAACCAAGAAATGATATCCCTAAAAATTATTTTACTAGAGTTATATTCAATTACTATTATTACTGATATGAAATATTTCCTTCTTATATCTTTTAAAGAACGAACATGCTCTAGGCTTACAATTTTTGCTAATTTTATTTGTGCTTAATAATTCCAATCCTGAAATTCAGCTTCAAGTTAAAAAAGAACACATTCGAAATCCCATCAGCCCAGGTAGATAAGTTTTACCTGCATGTTTCTACCTCTTTTGAAATAGAAGGCATGTAAGTGCAGTTATGATCTGAACCCTACTGCAGAATGATTTGTAAAGAACTAGGAAATAAAGCTTAGAAATTAGGAGGTACCTAGCTTATGGTTTCCATTAATTATTATTATTTTCACTGAGGATATCTTGCTCCAGATCAATAAATTAATTTTTAATGTAAAAGAAGAAATTACAGAAAGATTTGATAAATCATAGCATTACCCTTGCCCATTCTTCAGTCTTAAAACACAAAGTAGAAATTTTAATTCCTCTTGTGCAAACCCCACTTGTCTTTCTTTCTACTTATATGAACTTTATAAGACCATTTGGGCAATAATATTTATAATGAAACACCTTTTAGAAGTTTTTGAAGAATTTTGCTTTAAGAAAACAAAATCTGACTTTATTTAGCCACATCTCCAGTAATTGCCTTTTGTCAACCCTGTGCTCTGCCTAAACTATTTCTCTCAGCTCCCCAAATGTGTAGTGCACGTCCACAATTTCCTGACTGCACACCCAGGTGCTTGGAATGTTCTTTCTTGTATTTTCTGTCATAGTGCCCTCCCACTCAACTTTCAAGGCCAAAATTAAATAGTACTTGCTTTCTTTAGCCTTCCCCAACACCCCCAACCTAAATAATTACATTTATGTATTTTACAAACACCTATATATATTATTTCATTGTGGTGTGATGATTTAATTACGGTTTGCATCCTTTGCTAAGGATGAGAGTTCTCAAAGTCAAGAACTGTATCTTACTTCGTTTTGTAATCTCAGCATCTAGCTTATTGTCTTTCACAAACTAGGTACAAACAGACATGATATATTTTATGGTAGACACAAGCATATACCTTTGTTTTGTGCATAGGCACACACTTTCACTTCCACACATGCACATACCCACACATATACACAGAGACAGAAATTCACCATAGACAGTGGGAGAGGTAGAGAATAAAATACTAACAACATGCACTCAGAAATACTCGTGCACAGTGAAAATGAGACGTTGAAGCCAGAAAAAGCAGAGACTGCTTCCAACGAATAACAGGAATGTGAAAGTCATGTACTTTTGCAACAATAGGCATTTGAGTAAAGAGCTGCTGTTCCCAAAAGCTAGAAGAAGTTAGGTCAGATGTGAATTCCAGTGCAGTCTAGGCTGTATAATCTAAACAAGGTGAATTAAAACAATTCAGAAAAACTAAAGCAGATTGAATGTAACTCACAGCATTGAAATACAGACTGATATGCAATTGATTGCACATCAACTAACTCTTCTACAGAAGAAAGTGGCAAATTTGTTTTAATTGCATACTGCTCCTACACACAGATGGGCATGGTGCTCAGATAGCCTCAGCCTCCAGTCAGTTGAGTCCCTGTCCTTACAACAAGGCAAGAGATGAGAAAGGCAGGCAAGAGCCCATCCTCCACACCACATGATCATGAACCGCTACATCACTAGAAATATCCAATATAAATATTCATCAGTGCTTCAAGCTGTCCTGCCAGCCATTCATTCTCTTACCAAATACTTAGCACAAACTCTGGGCTTCACATTCTGGTAAAAACTGGGGTCACCTGTAAGAAGATGGTATCTCCAGCATGAACACCTATTTAACACAGTATAGACATTGGATTCCTGAAAGCCTTAGTTGAGAAACACCACTGCTCTGTTGGTTTCATGGTCAAAGAGAGTGTTCAAAGAGGCAAAGTCTTGGCTTCATGAAACTGTTTTTTTTTTATACAACTCAGTAATTTTACTGAACCACCCTGCAGTTTGTAGTTCCTGTTTTTGTTCTCTTCTGATGCCAGAAGGCAGGTACTTCATAACTGTTAAAGATCAAGAGTTTTCTTTTTTTCGTGCAATGTTTAGGCATATAGGAGTCATGGGATAAAAGAACAGTTTAGCAGCTTGGGGGTATAAAATAAACCTGTAGAATAATGAATGCTACCTGGATGCTTAAGAGCAAAGACACACTGATTTGGTTACCTTTTTAATAATTCAAGGTACCTTCGCCTTTCCTACTAGAAGGACTGAGTTAATGAGGCTAATGAGTAACTGCCCTGCAATGGTCTAAGAGTCCCATAAACTTCTTGCACCTGCATTTCTACAAATAAATCTTACATCTGCTTCTAAAAGACTGTGTGTGGTGGGGTGAGGGGGTCGTATATACAAAGGATGTGTGTGTGTGTACAAGTCTGTGTGCACACATGGGCACATGTGCACATATCACCTGGTTCCCAAAGAAGGCTTGTTTTTAGTTTCATCTTGACCGAAGTGTCACCTACTTTTTCCTCTACATTTCTTATTTACAAAGAATCTAAATTATTAGAAAATGTTCTATCTAAGCATGATCTATTAAAATATCCTCACATCATATGTTCAAAATCATATGTGTCAATATCCTAAGAAGTAGAATTTCAGTAAGATTTTTTTTCAAAATCATATGTGTCAATATCCTAAGAAGCAGAATTTCAGTAAGATTTTTTTTAACTAGACACAAAAAGTGAAAGAAACACTTAGGATACAAGCATTAAATTAGAAATTAAAAGGTACAAGATTTCCTAGAAGCTGAGCAGGTAGTTAATGTATTTTTAATGGACTATGATGAGGTTGTATTCCTTTATTAATCAGAAAAAAAGGAAAATGTATAAAATAGAAATTGAGAGATGTTATGTACTTATTTTATTCTGACTACTTCAGAAAAAAAAAGAGCAAAAATATAATCAAGAAGAATTTTATAGAAAATTATCTGTAGCCTGGTGCAGTGGCTCATACCTGTAATCCCAACACTTTGGGAGGCCAAGGCGGGCAGATCACTTGAGGTCAGGAGTTTGAGACCAGCCTGGCCAACATGGTGAAACCCTATCTCTACTAAAAATACAAATATTAGTCAGGCATGGTGGGACGTGCCTGTAATCCCAGCTATTTGGGAGGCTGAGGCAGAAGAATTGCTTAAATCCAGGAGGTGGAGGTTGCAGTGAGCTGAGACTGTGCCATTGCATTCTAGCCTAGGCGACAGAAGGA